TGCGCGGCTTTAGAGAAGAGGAAGAGAAAACTAGTGGTGCACGTAAAAATCTATTCATATATCGATTCTGTCTTCTAACGATTCTAATGGATTTACAAGTTTCAAAATCAATGTTCTAAAGCAGCGGTTCTTAATTCTGTTCCTCATGTCTACACACGCTCTGCATCTCTCTCTCTCTCTCTCTCTCTCATTCAGCTCAGCTCCAACAATGAACTGTTCCAATTATACACTTATTTTCACATAGCTATGAGAAGCGTTATACATGGACGCCTAATCAAGCCTAGAAAAAAAAACAGTGAACCACCCCTTTAAAAGACACTATTATTCAACTGCTCTGACACTATATAAGTAGCTAGTGACCTCATAAAACACCGCTGTCCGTGCTTTGTTGTCCTGTGTCATATATCTTGTGCACCTCCTTTGTGAAAATTAAGTACACTTTAGCGTACTTTTGAAAAAGAGTATTATGATAATTATGTCTTATCCCGGTCAGCTCCACAACTGCATGAATAGCTCCGGTGAGAAGCTGTTATCTGGAATGTGCTGCTTATGCGTACAGTGACTGTACCATGCATTGCGATTGCTGTTGAGTGTCGCTGCGCTTATGTCGTCTTATGCCGAGCGTTAACAAATGGAAGATTGGAGATCTATAGAGAGCTATATGTCTTAGTTAATGATCACAGAGGAATCAAGATTAAAGTGAAAGCCTCGACATAACAGCTAAACCACAATTACAGCTAAACCACAGTCTAAACACAATTAACACAATAAAAGAACATCATCAGTGAGCTATGTGGATATCTTGAGTTTATTCTCTCTTTGGCTTGTGTTCATATATTGTAAAATTAAGGAAATGCCTCAATCCTCAGCACAACTCTAACCCCCGTGTGGACAGTGTTAGTATTAGTCCTGGAATGCAAGTAAGCATTGAATTTGATCCTCCACTAGGGGGAGATAAAAAAAAACACAGTCATCAGGGCCCATATTCACAAAACATTTTAAGGCTAAAAGTAGCTCATAACTCGCCGATTTAGGAGAAAATCTTAAAAATCATGGGCGTGTCAGTCCTAAATTTAAGACTCCTACATTTTTGCTCTAAGAGTATTTCACAAAGCGTTTTAGCGCTAAAACTAGCTCCTAAATCTGTGAAAGTTAGGAGTAGTGAAGAGGACTCCTAAGTCACTAAGACAAAGTCACAAACTATCCTAAAATGACTATTGCCGGAACAGAAATATTTTAGAAACGTTTGATGATAATTAGCTTTTAAAAAGGTGTCGCCTTAATCGCGAGGGTATTATGACTGTTGTTTTAACAAGTTTGTTCGGCAAGAAGTAACAGCTGTTCTTGCATCCAGTTTGGTTTTCTTTTAGACCCCTCCCCTATCAGCCAATCACTGTGTGCATAGTTAGTAAGCATGCTGACATCATCCATAGCAACGAGGTCTAGCCCGCCCTTACTCTTAGCTTAAGACTTCTCTCTATTCCTTAGTAAAAGTTTGTCTCAGCAGCTTTGTGAATAGGTTTTAAGAGAAAACTCTTTGCTAAAAACTTTTACTGCTATTTAGGAGAACTCTTAGTGGTAAGATAAAATGTTTTGTGAATACGGGCCCAGGTTTTTAAAATATGAGTAGTTCATGCATCTGGAGTATGTCTTCCTTTAAAACAAACTGAATATCAGGATATTCTGAAATTCATGTAAATTAATGTTTGCATCAACTTTTGACTTTTTGGTTTTTCTGAAAATAATTTGCAATGAAATGTTTTGTATTAAATAAAATACACACTATAAGCATTTTCACTAATGGTCTCAGACTATTGGAGCCCAGCGTAAATACATTTTATTTTACTTTCAGAATTGGTGGTAATGTATTAGGGCTATGGAACAATAATGCCATGCATCAGAAAGACTAATGCCCAGTTCAGACTACACGATTTTGCCCGATTTTGCCACGATTTGCTTGACGTAGGGTGTCGTGGGGATTCGTAAACGACAATGGGCGTCGGGACACAAGATTCCATCGTTTCAGCACGTTGTAGGGAGTTCTGAATATAACAGACACTGATATGCCATGGAATCATCCCAGCACGTGACTCCAATATTCGAGGGCGATTTCCTGTCAGTCTTGTCTCATCTACTCATGAGATCTAAACTAATTCAATCAGGAGACAACAAAGCTTTCTTTGTATCAGAACTGGAAGGTTCGTTCACAACATATAGAAACCACGATGTCTTGTGACCACCAATGAATGTAACTATTATATCCAAACAGGAAAGACAGTAATTTAATCACACTCACAGGCTTGATGTACAACGGACCTAAAGAACAGCGATAATGTGACTAAATCAAACTCAGCAAACTGTATCAGCAAACTCGTGACATGGGCATGACCTCAGGACACCTCCCCTTTCCCCCCTGCATTCCAAAAACGTAGGAACCTGTTGTTGAAGGGTTGCATTTTTAGTGTATTGTGTTACTACTGGCTCAAGAAAATTTCTGGCAGGAAGAATGGACGAAATACACGGCAGGTGACCAAAAACATCAAATCTGATCTTTTTTTAAATTCAGAAACAGTATGTTGTTACTATTTTGACAATAATAACAAAACAATATTGATTAAGCAGCCAATCCTTACAGTGTGTTGATTGGGTGTATGAGAATATTTGTAAGAGAAATGTCTTATATATCTATGAGATTATTAGTTGAATATGAAATGAAGCAGGCCTGTTTTCATTTGTGCTTACTTGCAGTGCTGGGAGACACTGGTTGGTCAAGAGCTTTACCGTTTGGTTTTAATGGATCTGCTATTTGCAATGTCATACATCATCTTAGCGGAGTTTCTGTGGGGGTAAGTTCTCACGTTTCCATGTGATAGCAGGGATGTTTAGCTGGATGTGTTGACTTTTTCTGCCCCTTCAGGTTTTGTATTAGAAACATCACATTAAGAAAAAGGAAACTAGAGTTTGACATCGCACGAGATGTTCTGGAGCTCATCTACGGCCAAACGCTTGTGTGGTACTGTCATCTCCTCCTCGTGAAGAAACATTGCATTGTGTTCTGGTGGCTTCTCACTAACAGTATTTTCCGTGTTCTCTTTGTAGGTTTGGTGTGCTGTTTTCACCGCTCTTGCCTGCAGTGCAAATTGGGAAACTGTTTCTACTGTTCTACTTCAAAAAGGTCAAGATCTTCTTATGCCCGGTTCAGACTACACGATTTTAGCCCGATTTTGCCATGATTTGCTTGACGTAGGGTGTCGTGGGGATTCGTAAACGACAATGGGCGTTGGGACGCAAGATTCCATCGTTTCAGCTCGTGTAGTGTGTCATAGTGGACGACAACCGATTCCACATCTGTGATGCTTCACGACAGAAAGACTAGCATGTTTAATTTTTTTTTCGTCATCCACGACGAGTTCTGTCACATTGGTGACGTTGACCAATAGCAGCACAGAAGCTCTTTCATACACAGGTTTCAAACATGGCAAAACAAAAGAGAGATGATGGTGCTGCTAGGTGGAATTATGAGATGGAGGAAAGGTTCGTGGAGCTGTGGCAACAGTACTCCTGCCTGTATGATGTGTCATCGAGGGACTACCACGACAGAACAAAGAAAGAAAAATGCTGGCGAACTATAGCGGAAGCGCTTCAGCAATGTTTACACTCTTGTTTTCAGAAGTCAGTCGCTAGTTCCGCCTTCTCGATGACATCACGCACATCGTTAAAGACTGCACGCGATGAATGGTCGGGAAGCAACGTGTAGTCTGACATGTTTCTTGTCCACGACACGACAAGATTTTAGGAGTCAAAATCGTGTAATCTGACACAGTGACTATCGTGACCGACAAAAATATTGTGTAGTCTGAACCTGGCATAAGAGGGAAATATAGCTACTGAGATTTGGTCTTAGTGTATCACATTTTAGACCGCCACTATGTCTCTTGCACTATATTTGAACTGATGTCTAGCTGTGTTGAGTAAAATCTATTTTTCTCTGTTTTTGTACGATGGTGGGATTATCTGAATTGTAACGAGAGATTAACTCAAAAACAAGAAAGCATCTACAGGAGCACATTTACTGCTCTCATAGTGGTGAATCAGCAGAACAAGTGATCTTCAGAGATTCTGATGTTTAATTCATCTAAACGAGACAGTTCATCTGTCAAGCATGTCTGGGGCAAGATATAATCTCTAGCCCTGAGCATGACACAAAAGAAAATAATCCAATCAGTTGTTAATTTTTGTCATATCTTTAAGAAACTCTGTCTGGTGCTTTCTATGAAAGGGACACAAAATAATGCTTTGAACTTTTTAAAAAATGTTTAATTAATTTTGAGCAGCTCAAATTTAACATTACCAATATTCTGCAATGATTCACTGAAGGCAAGTTGTAGTAGAACCCATGTGCAGTTTTATTAAACAGAAGATAACTCAAAAACACCTCGACTCGACACATGAACAAGGACTTACCAACAGTGGTTACACAGACAAAGGACGATGGTAACATGAGGGCTATATATACAGAGACTAATGAGCAAACAAGACACACCTGAAACAATCAAAACAATAAACCAATGAGAAAACAGAACTTAGAAACACATGACTAAAACAACCAATGACAACATGACACATTCACAAGGGGAGCACATGGCAAGATCACAGGAAACATGAGAGCATGAACTACAAAAGAAAAGACATGAAAACATGAACATAAACAAAACCCCCAAAACCAACCGTGACGTATATGAGCACTATAAATTAGCATATTTCATTTCCAGAAAAGAAATTCAATAATCAGACAAAATTTTAATTAAAAATTCAAGAAATGTAAAATTAATAATACTTAAATATTATATTTCAATATTGTTTTCTTACAATACAAGAAAATATTTCTTGAGCATCTTAATGTTAAGGTAAAACTTATTTTTCTTTGTAACAGGGTGCATGCAAACTGTTGGACACTGCTATTATTATTATTATTATTATTATTATTATTGATAGCAATTAAAATTCAATATTAAAAATATTTTTGAATTATACAATATCAGTGCATCAGATTATTTTTTAAATGATAATGTTGTATTATTTTAATTTCATACAGCCAAAAAATGTCAAGAGCTTTGCAGTTGCACACACCAAAATCTTGTTTTTTGGGGGCGGATACAGACTTGATGTCTTTGTACACTATTTGTGAAATGTGCATGGTTGTTTTCAATAAGAGAAATGGATAAAAATTAATTATATGAAATAGCAGGCTTCAACAGTATTTGTGGTAAAAACTTTATCAAACAGATTATTATAGCAGGGTCCTATAACAGAAAACATACCATGGTTAGCAGCTGCACAAAATATGTGCGCATATGGCATTGAATATATATGACTGATCATCAATAAGGAATAGACCCTGTCTACTTTACAAGATCTAATTTCTCCTATTTGTTATTTATACGCACTTACCCCTTTCCTTAACCTTTCAGTCTCTCTTTCTCCCTTTATATCCCTCTCTCCTCCTATGTTTTCCCTAACATTTGATAGATCGCAATTAGATATCTTTGTAAAATCCAGAAAGCGTTGTTACTCAATCCTGCAGTTTTACATTTCGGTTTTGTCGTCAGTAAATTGCATCCCCTCTTCTCCCCTCACCCTGAGTTCACTGTGTCTGACTTACAAATACTCCCCTGTTTTTTTCTCCTCTTTCATTTTCCGTTACTGAGCTTTCTCTTCCTCCCTGACTGAGTGTAGCTCTTTATCCATAAATTATACATCAGGTGAAGGTAACAGACAGAGAAGATTTCATGCTATAATCATTGAATCTGCTTAAATATGAAGGTTAGGATAAACTGAGCAGAGTATATATGTTGGGAAATACATTTCAACATATTGATCAGATCTAAAAAGATTAATTTTGAAATAAGGCAGGGACCACAAATGTTGGCATAAGCTGTTTGCAATGAGGTCACCATGGTTTATGTCCCATACAAATCTGCAGTGAGATAGCATCTGAAGTTATTTTTTTTAATAAATGCTATTACTGCCACTGCACATAACTTGGCATAATCCCAAATTAAATGCATTTTAGGAATTTTAAGTAAAATGTATTTAAGGTTCTAGTGTTAATTAATATATTTCACATTTCAGTTACACATATGTAACTTTAATGTAATTTTCACTTATGAAACTTTTCTGCTTAGACATGTTGAAAGCTTGTTTAAAAGTAAGCTTCCACATCACTTCAATAACAGAATCATAAGAAATAGAGGTTGATTGTTGTGGCATCAGATAAGAACAGATCCACGTTTAGATTACAGGATGACTGTAACAGAGATCGTTGCACAAACACCCATGGATTATTGTTGATGTTTGTTCTACAATAATAATATTCAATCATGTAAAATAAATTAAATTGATTTAGTCAAGTCAATTCACCTCTATTTCTATACCGCTGTATACAATACAGATTGTGTCAAAGCAGCTTCACAGAGATAAACAGTTCTTCAGAGCACCTATTTGCCAATTTCAGTTTAAATTCTGCACTTTATTTTAAAAGAATTAATTTACAGATTCCAAATCAGTTAAAGCCTTAATTTTCTGGTAATCCTCATCATAATTTTTGGTAATGTGACAGATAAATAATAATCAATAATTTCTTGATATAAAAAAGCTGATACTCCATTATGCACAGCAGAAACACTGTATAGTTTGTGTGTGTGTGTGTGCTTGAATACATGGTTTATGAGGACACTTCCTGTGTCCTCATAAACTAAATGGCTTACAAATACAGTGTTTTTGAAATATTTAGGGGATAGAAAATACAGTTTGTACATTATAAAAACCATTTGGCCTATGGAGAGTCCCCGTAAACCACATATACAAACATATGTGTGTGTGTGTGAGAGAGAGATTTCATATAAATCCTTTGTTGCGTTTTTTTTATTGCTAATACAGAAACCTCTTATCTTACCAGTCCAATGCACTTTAGAATACAGTCTGCAACTCAGACAGAAAAGGGCAAACGAAAGATAAGGAGAGAGGTATCGGATGGATAGAATGTCACCTCCTGAATGTTAGAAGGCCAAAAAGCAGACATGGTATCCTTCAGTCTTTCTTTGCCCTCCTGGATAAAACACACCTGGGCAGAGAGAAGGATGACATTCCGTGAACTTGTACAGAGGAGCAGATGCTAGAGTCTGACAGAGAGAGAAAGGCATCAGTATAGACTGAAAGATGTGGAAAAACAGAAAGAGTTTTAAATTGATTTCTTTTGGTTTTTAAAGAACAATTACCACATTTGCCAGGTCTTTCTAATTCAGCTTGAGTTACTGAAAACAGTTCTGAAAAATTCACAGGAGAGTAACAATTGTAATTGCACGGAAGAAACTCAGATAGGCCCGTACTGGGAGGGGTAAAACAGGTGTTGTCTTACTGTGTGTGTGTGTGTGAGAGAGAGAGAGCAGCTGAAGTGGCATTTAGATGCATTTACACAGACAATTGAATGAAGCTGAAATGTAGCATGAATGCATTAACACTGCAAAATTACAACAGCATAAATAATGCTGTGAGCTTGGTGTTTTACATCAGGTTTTTTTTATTTACAAATATGAAAAGTTGTAAAAAATACAAAAAAAAAGTTACTTTTAAATTTGAAAGTAACCCGCCAGCAGGTGGCAGCAAGTTGACTGTCTTAATGAGTGAGTCATTGAGGCATTCAAACGATTCGTTGAAACGGCTGATTCATTCAAGAATGAAGCAAGCGCCTGTCTTTATGAATGGACCACTGAATCATTGACTCAAATTATTAATTCAAAAATGCGAATCATTCAGTAGCCTAACGAAACACCGCTGACGCGGTGTGTTGCTCAGAGATGCGCAACATTTCTGCTCTGCTAAATTTGGAACATTTACAATCGTACTGATTTTCGGGGAAAACTGCACTCTCTTAGTCGTGTCATGTTAATTAATTAGGCTAGGCTTTATGTAATAAATATAAAAACTACATTTTTTTTTTTTACCGTAGTATGTTTCTTCTGTGTGCAGTTGTGTTCATTTGTTTCGATTTCTCCATGAGATTGTCTCACGTGATTGTCATTGTCTCAACTGCCGCGACCTTGTTACTATTGATTATCCATTATGAATTGCCGTTTAGGCCTACACCAAGTGTAATA